GTGTGCCCCATACCTCTAGCTAAGTTGCACAATGCCCAGCCCTAGCAGCAGCCAACTTTGGTTCAGAGCTAGGCCTCACCAGGGCACCTCCAAACTGAGCACAAGTAGATGCCATCTGCAGATCACTTTGTAGCTCATGACAGGTGGCCCTGAGTAGAACACAGGTGGCAACTCACCATGGTCTGCACCTCCTGAGGAACCCCAGAGCCAGTGTTATCAGTAAAGAGCTTCAGACCACATCAAAGCATCACCACCCAGCCACCTCCACAATCAACAAACTCAATGGACAGAATCAGAAAGCACGAGAGCCCCACCAAATTAAGTCCCGCTCTATGGTATGTATCCCAGCACAGCTGATCCTTCACAGTGATCTCAGATTGGTGGTCAGTGGTCACAGCCATTTCTTGCAACTGATTGGCCCAGCGGTATATTTCTTCTATTGACATGCCAACAGCAATCAAGGCTCAACTACAAGAGCAGGGTGTACACATCCCACAAGGGGTGTGGCCCTCAACTGCCCAACTTGGGTAACTGGGGAAGCTGTGCCACTGGACTGTACAGAACACCAATATTAGCCCACTCTACCAAGCCTTGGAGACATAGCAGTTCTACCTAAGACAAAGAAACCAACATAAAGAGGCTGCCACGAGGGGGGTAAAAAGGAAAATGTCCCTAAAAAAAGAACAGAATAAAACTCCAGAAAAAAGAACTAAACAAAATGGAGTCAAGGAATCTTCTAGATGCAGAATTCAAAGCAAACTTATAGCAACTTATAGATTCAATGCAACCCCTATTAAAATAACAATGACGTATTTCATAGACATAGTACAAACACTTCAAAAATTTATATGGAACCATAAATGACCCCAAATAGCTGCTGGAATTTTGAGAAAGAAGAACAAAGTACGAGGGATCACAATACCTGACATAAAAGCTATATTACAAAGTCTCTGTACTCAAAACAGTCTGGTACTAGCACAAGAACAGACACATAGAACAATGGAACAGAGTAGAGAGAGCCCAGAAATAAACCCATGTCTCTATGGTCAATTAATATTCAACAAAGAAAGCAGAAGTATAAAATGAAGTAAAAATAACCTCTTCAACAAGTGGTGGGAGACCTGGACAGCTCCATGCAAAATATTGAAAGATGACCACCAACTTTCACCATACACAAAAATAAACTAAAGATGGATAAAGGACTTAAATATAAATTGCAACACCATAAAAGTCCTAGAGGAGAACATAGGCTGGAAACTCTAAGATATCCCATGCAGCAATATTATCACTGATATGTCACCTAAAGTAAGGGACATAAAGGAAAAAATAAACTAATGGGATTTCATCAAAATAAGAAGCTTCTATACAGCTAACGAAAACATCAGCAAAATGGAAAGGAAACCAACCATATGGGAAAATATTTTTGCCAATGACACCGCGGAAAAAGGTTTGATCTCCAAAATATGTAAAGAACTCACAGGACTCCACTCCAGGAAGACAAACAGTCCAATTAAAAAATGAGCAAAGGACCTGAGCAGACACTTCTCCAAAGATGACATACACAGAGTCCAGAGACATATGAAAGGATGCTCAGCATCACTAGCCATCAGAGAAATGCAAATTAAAACCACAATGAAATACCTCTTCACACCAGTCAGAATGGCCATTGTAACCAAATCAACAAACAAGTGCTGACGAAGTTGTGGAGAAAAGGGAATCATAGCACATTGTTGATAGGAATGCAGTCTGGTGCAGCCACTGTGGGAAACAATTTTGAATTTCCTCAAAAAGATAAAAATGCAACTGCCTTTTGACCCAGCAATTTCTACTGTTGGGGTCATACCCTAAGAATCCCAAAACATCAATTCAAAAGAACTTATGCACCTCAATGTTCATAGCAGCACAGTTTACAATAGCCACATGTTGGAAGCAACCTAAGTGCCTATCAATAAATGAGTGGCTCAAAAAACTATGGTACATTCACACAGTAGAATACTATGCAGCAGAAAGAAAGAAAGAGCTACTAACCTTTGTAACAGCATGGTATGCTAAGCAAAATAAGTCAGGCGGTGAAAGACAAATACCATATGATATCACCTATAAGTGGAACCTAATCAAGAAAACAAACAAGCAAGAAAAATGTAACCAGCAACATTGAAAGAAAAAACAAAGCAACAGTAACTAGAGGGAAAGCAGGAGTGGGTAATGGGGAAAAGAAAGGGAAGGGTTAAGTCAAGGAACATGTATTAAGGACTCATGGATAAAGACAAAGTGAGGAAGGATTGAGGGTTGCAGGTGGGGATGGGTGCGGGGGGCAGAAAGAAGTGGTGGGAAAATGGAGATGACTGTATTTGAACAATAAAAATATAAATTTAAAAATAAAGCCCTGGTTTGTGTGGCTCAGTGTATTGAGCACCAGCCTGTGAACCAAATGGTTGCAGGATCGATACCCAGTACAAGGCACATTCCTGGGTTGCAGGCCAGGTCCTTGATAGGGGGCATGTGAGATGCATCCATACATAGATTTTTCTCTCCCTCTCCTTCTCCTTCCCTTCCCCTCTCTAAAAATAAATAAATAAAATCTTTTCAAAAAAGAGACTGAGCTGATTTCTCAACAGAAACATTGCAGGCCAGAACAATTTGCAAGAAATATTCAAAGTGATGAAAAGCAATGATCTACAGGCAAGATTACTCTCTCTAGCAAAGTTATCATTTAGAATCAAAGAACTGAAAAAGAAATTACCAGACAAGAAAAAGCTAGAGGAGTTCATCACCACCAAGCCAGTATAACATGAAATGCTAAAGGGTCTTCTTTAATAAGAAGAAGAAAATCAAAAATATGACAATAAAATGGCAATAAATATATATCTATCAACAATTGAATCTAAAATTCAAAATAAATAGACTGCCAGTCAAATGGAGGCATAGGTATATACAGTTTCCTTCCTTGCACAACCAAAAGAAAGGGTAACAACAAATTTAAAAACAAAAAACAACCAGAACTGCCAGAAAATTGAACTGCATGGAAGTCTGACAACTAGGAGGTTAAAGAAGAAACATTCATCCAGAGTGGTAGGAGGAGTAGTGACAGGAAGCCAGGGCAGAGAGGGCACAAGGCAATGTGGCAGCTGGAGGGCCAAGTGAGGGTGGCAATGGCTGGCAAATGGGTGGTTCCACATCTGCATGTAGGTAAACCAGGAGGAACAACTGGGGAGCAAGACAGATGGTGCAACCCAGGGATCCAGCTTGGGAAAAGAAAGCCTCAAAACCTCTAGTTATAAAAACTGTGGGTGTTGCAGTGGCACAAGAAACTCCTATCCTCACAGGAGAGTTCATTGGAGAGACCCACAGATTCCCGGAATGCACACAGACCCACCCACCCAGGAATCAGCACCAGAAAGGTCCAGGTTACCTGTGGGTAGTGGGGGAAGTGACTGAAAGCCAGCTGAGAGCTAAGCAAGTGACATTGTTCTTTCTCTGACCCCTCCCCAACATACAGTGCCACAATGTAGCTATGCAAGTTGCTCCACTCTGGTGAATACCTAAGGCTCCACCCCTTACAATGTAACAGGCCTGCTGAGACCAAGAAATAAGGCACAAATGAAAGAACAAATCAAAACCCCAGAAAAAATATAACTAAGCAATGAAGAGATAAGCAACCTATTAGATGCAGAGTTCCAAACACTAGTAATCAGGATGCTCCCAGAAATGGTTGAGCATGGTCGCAAAATGGAGGGAAAAATGAAAGCTATGCAAAGTGAATTAAAGGAAAATACACAAGGAACCAACAGTGAAGGAAAGGAAACTGGCTCTCAAAGCAATGATTTGGAACAGAAGGAAGAAATAAACATTCAACCAGAGCAGAATGAAGAAACAAGAATTCAAAAAAATTAGGACAGGCTTAGGAACCTCTGGGGCAACTTTAAACATTCCAACATCTGAATCATAGGGGTGCCAGAAGAAGAAGAGGAAGAGTAAGATATTGAAAACTTATTTGAAAAAAAAATGGAGAACCTCCCCAATCTGGCCAAGGAAATAGACTTTCAGGAGATCCAGGAAGCTTAGAAAATCCCAAAGAAGTTGAACCCAAGGAAGCACACAACAAGGAACATCATAATTACATTACCCAAGATTAAAGAGAAGGAGAGGATCTTAAAAGCAGCAAAAGAAAAGGAGACAGTTACCTACAAAGGAGTGCCCATAAGACTATCAGCTGATTTATCAAAAGAAACCTTGCAGGCAAGAAGGAATTGGAAAGAAATATTCAAAGTCATGAAAGGCTAGCACCTACATCCAATATTACTCTATCCAGCAAAGCTATCATTTAGAATGGCAGGGCAGATAAAGTGCTTCCCAGATAAGGTCGAGGTAGAGTTCATCATCACCAAGCTCTTATTATATGAAATGTTAAAGGGACTTATCCAGAAAAAGAAGATCAAAAATATGAACATAAAATGACAACAAACTCACAACTATCATCAAGTGAATCTAGAAAAAAATACTAAGCAAACAACTGGAACAGGAACAGAATCACAGAAGTGGGGATCACATGGAGGGTTATCAATAGAGAGGCTGAGGGGGCAGAATGTGGGGAAAGTACAGGAAATAAAAAGCATAAATGATAGGTACAAAATGGACGGGGGTGGGTGTTAAGAATAGTATAGGAAACAGAGAAACCGAAGAACTGATATGTACAATCCATGGACATGAACTAAGTTCAGGGAATGCTGGCAGGGAGTGGTGCAGGGTGGAAGAGAATAAAGGGACAACTGCAATAGCATAATCACTAAAATGTAGTCTAAAAAATAAAAATAAACTACAAGTAGAATAGAAACAGGCTGATCGTTACAGAGGACATTTGACAGTTGCCAAGTGGAGGAGGGTTGAAGGAATGGGTGAAAAAGGTGAAGGGATTGGGAAGTATAAATTGGTTGTTAGAGAATATTCATGGGGAGGTAAAGTACAGCACAGGGCACATAGTCAGTAATATCCTAGTAACTATGTATGGTGTCAGGTGAGTGCAAGATTTATTGGGATGATCACTTAGTAAGTTATGTAATGTCTAATCAGTGTCGTGTACATGTGAAACTAATATAATAATGTATGCCAACTATAATCAAAAAATAAAAATGATTTTAAGATGAAAAAAGAATTAAAGTATGAGAATGATGTCTCACCAAATAAATAATACCAATAAAGATACAGAAATTATTTTTAAAAGATTTTTTAAAACAGTCAAATAGAATGGATTAAAAAACTATGGTACATTTACACAATGGAATACTACACAGCAGAAAGAAAGAGCTCCTACTCTGCCATAGCATGAATGGATTTGAAGAGCATTATGCTAAGTGAAATAAGCCAGGCAGTCAAAGGCAAATACCATATGATTTCACCTATAAGTAGAAGCTAATCAACAACAAAAAAAAAAAAATAAGGAAGCCAAACATAACCAGACATTGAAATAGGGGAGGGAGGGGATAAGAGGAGGGAAAGTGGGAAAGGTCATCAAGGAACATGTATAATGGACACATGGACAAAGCCAAAGGGGAGTAAGATCAAGTGTGGGAGGTGGGGTTGAGAGGGGTAGAGGATGGTAGTGGAAAGGAACGGAGACAACTGTACTTGAACAACAATAAAAAATAAAAGCAAAAAATAAATAAATATAACAATCAAATAGGAACTCTGGAGTTGAAAGTACAATTACTGAAATGAAAAATTCACTAGAGGAGCTCAAGAGCAGATATGAGTTGGCCAAAGAAATAATCAGCAAAATTGGAGATAGTTTATTTTAGATTATCCAGTCTGGGAAAGAAAAAGAAAAAGGTATCAAGCAAAATGAAAAAAACCTCAAAAGCCTGTGGGACACCGCAAGCATTCCATGTACATGTGATGGGAGTCCCAAAGGAGATAAGTATGAGAAAAATATTTAAAGAAATAATGGCTTATAACTCCCCAAATCTGATGAAAAAGCATTTTACTACACATCACAGAAACTCAAAAATTCAAAGTAGGATAAACTCAAAGAGATTCACATCTATACACATTACAATCAAACTGTTGAAAGAGAGAATCTTCAAAGAAGCAAGAGAAAAATAAATGGCTCATCATATATCAGTAATCCTAAATAAGATAAATAGATGATTTTTTATGGAACCCCTAGAGAACAGAAGGCAATGGGATGACATAGTTAAAATGCTGAAATTAAAAGCCTGTTGACCAAGGAATCTAAACCCAGAAAAACTATACTTCAAGAAAGTAAGAGAAATTAAAACATTCCCAGATACAAAAACAAAAAATTAAGAGAACATATTGTTAGCAAACCCAATCCACAAGAAATATTAAAGAGGGTATTTCAGATTGAAATGAAAGAACATTAAACAGCAAATTGAACCCACACAGAGCAATAGGTAACACTGATAAACGCAACTACTGCATAAAACACAAAAAGATAGTTTAATTGTGGTTTTTGTTTGTAACTCTTTTCTTCTCTTATCTGATTTGAAAGACACTGCATAAAGCAATAATTATAAAACTGTGTTGTTGGCTTATAATGGATGAAGATATAAATGTATGAGTATAATTAAGGGAAAAAAGAATGGAAGACTTCTGGTCAAGATGACAACATAGGTAAACATGGGTCTCCTCCTTGTACAACCACATCAAAATTACAACTAAACTATAGAACAACATCATTCAGAACCATCAGAAATTGAACTGAATGAAAATCCTACAACTATAGAATTAATGAAGAAACTAACTATGGAATTAAAGAAGAAACCACATTGAGATTGGTAAGAGAGGTAGAGACATGGAATGGGATGGTTCCACACCCGTGTGTGCAGATAAATATTGGGAGGGATATTGTAGGGGGTGCTTTGAGTGGTATTGGGGACTGTGGTCACAGGCTGGAGCAGTACCAGAGAAATTGAGGGGCCAGGTGACACCAGGAGGTGGGAGAAGAGATGGACCACAACTGACCATGACCCAGATAGTCCCTGGACTTGTCAGAGAGTTGGGCTGTGTGAAAAGCCCAGCACTGGTTAGGAAAGACCGCCCACAACCAAGGGGAAGTCACTCAAAAAAAGGCTCTCAGCCACTGTAAAAGGACTTCTTGCATGCAGTGGCTGGGACAGCAAAGAAGGAGGAGGAGTGGGATGTGGTCCAAATTAGAGCACCCCATGGATTGATCAAAGAAGGGTAGCAAGGACCAGAGAGGTAGCAGTCCCAGAGAGACTTAATTTAATAGGGAAACTAAACTGCCCTGAAGGGACTTTGCATGCATGCAGTGCCCACGCCAGCAGAGTGAGGAGTGCGGGTGCAAGTTGCTCCCACTCGGTGCACCTCACCTCACAGACTAATCAAAGAATTGCATATCGAGGCAGATTAAAGGTACTGGCCTCATGCATATGGACAGTGTGGGTCATGCAGCACTCTGAGGGCTTGAGCTGGAAGCTGGGAACCCAGGAATATTTCAGCCCAGAAGGAGCCCCCCAAACTCAAAGATCCACAGGAAAGGAACAAAACTGGAGCCCAGTCTCCCTCTGCTGGCAGCATTGGGGAAGACCAGCATCATTGGGAAAGACCAGCAGCATCAGGGAAGAACCCACTTGGAGGGTTTAAAGTCACTAGTAGGCTTTTTTCTCTCTTTTCTGTTTTTTTTCTTTTCTTTTCTTGCAAGTGTAAGACAATAAGACCTAGAGTTGAGAAAGGACCAAAGACAGATCCACAGAGAGATCAGAAGGCTAATGTCAACAACTGAGAAAAAAATTTTACTTTGCTATACTTTAGAACTTGCCTTTTATTTTTTCTTATTTTTTAAATTTATTTTCTATTTCTTGTCCCTCCATTGAGTTCTCTTTGTTTGTGTGTTTGATTTCATCGTTGGACTGCTTTTCTTCTTCTCTCTTTCATATTGTATTTTAGTCTTTCTTCTGTCACTGATCTCATATTCCAATAACACACTGCTGTTGGTCTTTTACTTTTTTTTCTTTTTGTTCAGATTATATATTTCCAGTCATATTATTATTGTTCCGAATCCCACACAGCACCCTTCACTGGTCTTGGTCTCTTTTTCTATCTTCCTTAGCTTTATTACTGTTGTGGATAACTTTATTCTCTACCATAATACCCCATGTTCTACCTCTTACTCTCAATGTATCTCACCCTCTAACCTCACATAAGCACTCTCCTTTCTGGAATCTGATCATATTCTTTTTCCCTTCTAATAACAGTCTTACCCTTTATAAAAAGTGGCCAGTTGGGTGAATTATCACAGTTATTGTACTTCTCCAAAGGATCTCCTATTGCTTCTCTACTTGTTGATATTTTAAATCCCATAGAATTTTCTCCCATTGTCCTAATCTAGTTCATCTTCCTTTTTCCCCTGATCACATGCAAGATAAGGTGGGAGTTGTGAATACCAGTGAACCTGCTAGAGGAGAGAACCCACCAACAAAGGATCCTCAAACAGGAAAAACCCAAGTACAACAAGAGAGGCCATACAAAGAGAAGAAAGGGCAACCCTAGAGCATCCAGACGAGGAGATCAAAGAAACCACACCACTCAGTCCCACAGAACTCCTACCACAGAAGTTCACACTATGAAGATAGCTGGCAAAGCCGAGCATCGCAAATCACAGAAACAAACAAAAAGAGTCACCAAAAATGTGGAGACAAAGAAAGAGCCTGCATTGAATGGAATGGAAGACTCCTCACTAAAAGAGCTAAATGAAATGGAGGAAAGCAAACTATCAGATAGAAAATTCAAAAGAATGCTTATAAGGATGCATAAGGAACTCACTGACAACTACAGGGAACTGAGTGGGAACTACAACAGTATGAAAAAGGAAAAAGGATCTATAAACAAGAACCAGGAAAAAATGAAGAATACAATATCTGAAATAAAAAGTACACTAGAAGGAATTACTAACAGGCTGGATGAGGCAGAAGACTGAGTTGGTGAGCTGGAAGACAAAGTGGAGCGAAATACCTAAGCGGAGCAGCTGCATGAGAAAAGACTCAAAAAATAAAACGATCGCTTAAGGGAACTACAAGACAACATGAAATGCAACATTTGAATCTTAGTAATACCAGAAGGAGAAAAAAAGGAGCAAGGGATAGAAACCCTGTTTCAAAAAATTATAACGAAAAACTTCCTGAACCTGGGGGGGGGGGAGGGGGTACCGCATTCAGGAAGCACAGACATTCACAATCAAGATGAATCCAAAAATGCTTGTTCCAAGACACATCATAATTAAAATGCCAAGTTTAATTATGAAATAAAAGAATCTTAAAAGCAGCAAGGAATAATCGGGTAGTAACATACAAAGGAGCCACAATTAGGCTAGCAACGGATTTCTCAACAGACACACTGCAATCCAGAAGAGAATGGCAAGAAATATCCCAAGCAATGAAAAGCAAAGACCTGCAACCAAGACTACTCTACCCAGCAAGGCTCTCATTTGTAATAGAAGGTGAAATAAGGAGTTTCCCATGCAGCAATATTTTCACCAATACATCCCTTAGAGCAAGGGGCATAAAGGAAAGAATAAACAAATGGGACTTCATCAAGATAAGAAGCTTCTGTACAGCTAAAGAAAACATCAGCAAAATGAAAAGAGAACCAATCAAATGGGAAAATATTTTTGCCAATGGTACCTCGGACAAGGGTTTGCTCTCCAAAATATATAAAGAACTCACACGACTCCACTCCAGGAAGACAAACAATCCAATTAAAAAATGGGCAAAGGACCTGAAGAGACATTTCTCCAAGGTGGACATACACAGGGCCCAGGGACATATGAAAAGATGCTCACAATCACTAGCCATCAGAGAAATGCAAATTAAAATCACAGTGAAATACCACTTCACACCAGTCAGAATGACCATCATTAACAAATCGACAAACAAGTGCTGGTGAGGATATGGAGAAAAGAAATTCTAGTGCACTATTGGTGGGAATGCAGACTGGTACAGCCACTGTGGGAAACAGTTTGGAATTTTAGAAAACTAGAAATGGAACTGCCTTTTGACCAGCAATTCCGCTCCTGGGATTATACCCTAAGGATCTTTAAACACCAGTTCAAAAGTACCTACACACCTCTATGTTCATAGCAGCGTTATTCATAATAGCCAAGTGCTGGAAACAGCCTAAGTGCTCATCAGTAAAAGGTGGACCAAAAAATAGTGGTACATTTACACTAGAAGAAATGGAATACTGTGCAGCAGAAAGGAAAAAGGAACTCCTATCCTTGGGAAAGCATGGATGGAACTGGAGAGTATAATGCTAAGTGAAAAAATCCAGGAGGCAAAAGACAAATACCATATGATCTCACTTATAATTGGAACATAATCAACAAAACAAACAAAAAAGCAAAATAGAACCACAGGCATGGAAACAAGGACCAGAATGACAGGGACTAGAGGGAAGAGGGTGGGGGGATAAGGGAGGAAAGAAGGGGAAGGGCCTAGTTAAAGAACAAGTATAAATGACCCATGGACATGAACACAGGGTGGGGATTGACTCTGGGGTTGTGGGCAGGGCAGGGGAGAGCAAAGGGGGAAAACTGGGACAACTGTAATAGAACATCAATAAAGTAAATAAATAAATAAATAATTTTTCTAATAAATTTCTCTGGTTAAAAAACAATAAAATGATTTTAAAAGAAAAAAAGAATAAATATGAAACCCAAGAGCCATTCAGCAGTTGAGATTTATATGCCATTCTGGACAAAAGAGCAGAAGGGATGGGTCTGGGATTTCAAAGAGATAGTAGGTAATTCACAGGTAGTTGAAAAAGGGCAAATTTTTGCCAGGCCACCCAGACACAATGGGACACAGAGGGATTCTAACAAAAGGCTTACGTGGATCTTCCCTGTCTGCCACACTTAATTCTTACATGCCAAGGTGAATATAATAAGGCTCTCTTCCTAAAGCAAGTGTTTTTATCAGAATTCATTTAGGCAGGTAATGGGAGAGGATCAAAGTTTCTTTCTGAGTCTTATGTTTCTTAAAAATAACCAGCTTAAAATAATCAATATCCCAAAAAGACATATTTTGGAGTGGCGAATTCTGCTTCCCCTCAACGTCTGGGACTTCCTTCAAATAATCCAATAGTGGTATTTGGAAGTCACTGGGTGTATACTCAAAATGAAATTAGCCGTGAGTCAATCAGTGTTGAATCTGCTACGGGTGCATAGAGCTTCATTATACAAGTCATCTACTTTTGGAAACAGTTGAAATTTTCCATAATAAACTATTGAAAAAGCCCTGGCTGGTGTGGCTTAGAGGATTGAGCGCCAGCCTGGGAACCCAAGGGTGAACAGCTATATTCACAGTTGAGGCACATGCCTGGGTTGCAGGACTGGTGCCCAGTAGGGGGCATGTGAGAGGCAACCACACATTGATGTTTTGCTCCCTCTTTCTCACTCCCTTCTCCTCTGTGTAAAAATAAATAAATAAAATCTTTACCAAAAAAAAACTATTGAAGGAAAAGAATGATTCCTGCCTCCCCCTACCAACCCACCTCCTGGGTAAAGAGTGGTGGGTGAAGCCTATCGGCTTTTCTTCTGAGACAGTAGGGAAGAGAGTGAGTGGTACTTGGCAACTAGTGTAGGGGATGAAAGCTCTGCAGGTTTGAGTCAGTGGTGGCAGCTTTGGATCAGTGGCAAACCAGCTTGAGGCTGGGAGTTGATAATAGAAAATAAAAACCAAAAAGCTGGGGTGGGCCTTGGGGCTCAATAGCTGTTAAGACCTGTTACTAATAGCCTGTTGGACTTCACTGAGCTACAAGCCTGACAACAATCATCAGTCCTTGACTCTGAAGCAGTCAAAAGAGATATTTTGCTCTTTTTAGGCACATTGATTAGACACATGATTCTCTGCTAGCTGAGGGAGACTCATGAAAAACAGCAAAGATGCAATCTTGGCCCTCAGGATACTCAGTATTATAAAAAGGCTAAAAATTGTATTGGAAAGCAATATTCCTGATACAACATTAATGTGTAAGCATAACTACATACAAGCAACATGGAAAATAGGAGGAGCGCCTAAGCTGGTTTGCCTGTAGGAACCAGAGAAGGTCTCACTGAAGAACTTTTGAGTTAAAACTTGAAGACTAAGTTGGTGTCTTCCAGGACAAGAGCAAGGAGCAGGATTTCAAGAAGTAGTAAAAAAAAGAAAAAGAAAAAGTAAAACATAGCATGAAATTGCAAGGCTTGTTCTGGGAACCACAAGACCACAAGTATTTTCCTTGTTGGAATACAATGTGGGGGTCCTAGGACCTGCCCCTAGTCTGCTGCAACCACCATACTTTATCTTGCTTTGAGACAAGATAGAAAGAAACCAGGCAAAGAAAATTCCCTGGCAAGTGGAATAAGGAAACAGACATATAGCTGAACAAACTGGCTGAGCCATTTACAGCCAGATACGGAAGGTCACCTCCTGAGAGATAAAATCAGTTGTTAGCTGATGTTATCAGCTGTTATCAGGCCTCAGTTGTATTTCAGCTCCAGGCACAGAAAGGCAACAAAACCAGGTGGGTAATTCCAGGACCAACTGTAAGGACTAATGACCCGGTGCCCTGACCAATCAGTGGAGACCATGACCTGAAAGACTCACTTGGAGAACTGATAAATATTCTACTGAAACCCTCCCCTGAGACCTCCCCTAAGACTCCTGCGGAAGAGAAAGATAAAAGCCTAAAGGACCCAGCTCAAGTGTGCTCCCGTCTGTGGAGCAGCCCAGGCCACTTCCTTCCCATTCTTCTTCCCCCACAGCCACAAATCTCCTAAACTCTAAGGGACCCCACAATTCTTGCAACCAGGTAAGAAATGGGCAGCAGCAGCTTGTCCCAGGCCAAACCTGTCCGCAGTGCCCCCTTTTCTCTGACTTTCCAGAGAGCCAGGGCTCTCCTGTTGGTTCTTCTATGCTAAGCCTTTCCTTGTTTCACTGTCCCCAGCTTTAATAAACATAACCCTCATAGTCTCCTGAACTCCTGTTGTGACATCTTTCCTACACAAAGCCGAGAACTACTGGCTGGCCCTAGGCAGACCCACTCAGGGCCAGTCCTTCTGTCCCATAGTACCTTACTCTAGGCTTGGGACCCTTTCAGTCTTTTAAAACTAGTTTCTTGATGGGAAAGTGAGAGGCTCTAGGGTAAGTGTACTCAGTCTGGCCTCCTCACCCAGATGCCTGGGTAACTGGAGGGAGCAACTTCTCACAACCTTGAAGGAGTCTTACAAAAAGCAGTGCTCTCACAGCCTTGGGCCTGGGTCTCACACCTTGAATAGGCTTGCATGCGCAGTTCACGCTAGATTACTTCACTTGGCCTGCAGCTGGCTTTGTCTGGGCTAGTACTTAAGGGGTAGGAGCTTTGGATAAGGGAGGGGAGTCAGGCACTGACACAGACACGGGCTTGCAGCTTGTGTGACTCTCCTGAATAAAGGCATGTCAAGCATCCCCACGGCTCCAGGCATCTTCTTCGGTCTACCCGAGTCTGGAGTGGATCTGCCCAGCCTAGGGAGATTGCAACACAGGCAATTCCAACCTCAAGTAAAACTTACAGTTTGTGGGCCAGACTACATTTTGGAGCAGTTTTAAAATGCAGTCCAAAAAAATATTTAATGAAAAATGATTTGTTTGTTAAAAAATAAAATAAAATGCAGTCCACAAAATATTGATAACGGGAAATGTAAAAGAGTGTAAGGCCCAACAAAAACACCTGGTGTGAGTGGCAACAACCTACTTCCAACCATTAGATACTTGTGAGTCAGAGGTTTTCTTAACTTGTTTTTCCTGCAGCAGTAAGGTTTTGTATCCACGGCAAGTTTATTTCCAAATAAATTATTTATTCATTCATTCATTTATTTATTGCTGTACAATGTGTTTGATGCACTTACTTCAAAACTGCAGATTATATACAAGATACATAATAAAGAGGGTTCTTGTGAGTATAATACTTGAGAAAAGCCATCAAGGATCAATTAGAATTACAAAACTGGTAACAGCAAGAATTTGGAAAATGTGTGTAGCTTCGGATTTTTTAAATTGGACTTTTAAATGTTTTAGATAAGTAAGTTCTTTGCTACAGTAAATCCTTCATAAACATCCGTTGAGTGATTTTACACAATCCCGCTCCCACCCTTCGCGAAGAAGTTTCCTGTTTCTCTGAGAGTCACTTCCTCTGGCTTCCGGGTCGCCAGAGCTTCTCCTGGCCGAGGTCAGCCACAACTGGGCAGGCATAACGCAAGCCATCTCGTGGGCTATACGCAGCACCTTCTCAATCCGAGAGGCTTCCGCGGTCTCAGCACTAGGGGACGGCAAGGCACCAGAATACCACAAGCACAGGGGAGGTTCCAGCCCAAGCGCAACTCACCCGAATGGGGCGGGCCCGGGTTTACGCCCTTCACAGCGCTCGCCCCCCCTCCCCCCGCCCCCCCGCCGCTGCACCAGGTGCGCTTGCGCCGGCCCCGCCCAGCGGCCGGCTTCCCTCTTCTCGAGCTGGGCTAGAAACGGTTTTTAGCCCATGCTTCTCAGAGGCTTTCACTGACGCTTGCTCTTCCTCTGGAAGTCGATCGGCCGCGTCGTCGTCGGCGGGCAGTGAAGCCTTGAGGTGGCGGCGGCCCGATGCGAGCTGCGAGGGCCGCAGAGCGCTCGGCTACTGGCGCTGGCCTGGTGCGCGACCCGCGCCGGGCGCTCTTTTCGGTACTCAGCCGTGGGGAACGTCGAGTACGTGGACAGGCAGAACATCCGGACCATGTGTAGCGTCTGGGAGAGCGTCCGCTATGGCGACAGCTCACTAAAGGAGGGCGCACTAAGCATGGTGGGCGTCCCTCGAGGTAGACGGTGACCCTGAGGGTTGCGCACCGCACACGCGCTTCGTTGTGCCCCGGCCAGGTGGCCGGAGTGCAGTGTCCTGGGTCGTCCCGGCGGCGCGCGGGGGCTGCATTTTCAAGGACAAGTACTACGGTGGCGGCGCGGAGGAATGCTTCGGCAGTCGTGATCTACAACGAGGAGCGCCACGGGAACCTCACTGCGCCCACGTCCCATGCCGGTGAGTCGGGCTATGGACCCCGGGAGGTGGCGGGGGCGTCATTGCAGCGCGGTCCTGGCGGACGGACTTCACGTCTCCTTCCAACTGTATCCCTGAGCGAATGGAGGGGCAGCGGTGGTGCGACTTTCACGGCCTGTGGCAGTCGGGAACTTTCACGGAAACACTAGGTTTGCTCGGTGTGCCCTTTGGAGTCTTGTGAGGCCAATCTCCTGGAGACAATAGGGAGAACGAGAGAAATTAAAACCCACTGGAAAAAGAGTATGGTTCTAACCTGGGAGGTCTCATCATGGGTCCCTTTCCACTCAGTGTTTCCCAAAGTCAGGTGCAAAGGACTCTAGGGTCTGGCTGCCCGTTCACTAGGGGAAAGTGGTGGCTTGGTAGCACTCTGGTTTCTTGACTTTCTTGGAATATGTCTGAATATTCTAAACTGTGAGTTAGAAAATCGGATTTAACTCTGAATCTGAAAGCCTGGATTTAAATTTGGGTATATTGTCTCACAAAACGTAGGGTTATAGTACTGGCTTGACTGCCTGTGAGATTTGTTTAGTCTTGAGTTTAAATGAAAATTTTAAAACCTTGTTCGTTCAAGAAAAGATCTTGCTCTCTGCAAGGCGAGCCTTCTTACATACACGTATTCCCTAGGGCAACAGGTTGCATCTTCAAGCGGTAGTGGTCGTTTAAAAAAGGCTATTTCGTAAGATACCTTCAGAACTGAATCCGAATGCTTTTCGACCAGTGCACTACAGAGTAGTGTATTTCCTTCCTGCCAAGATCATGACCCATTCTCAACTTACTGTTATTAACATCTATTTTCAAAGTCCCTGCGGCTGCAAGTCGGGTATCCTTTTTCCTGTACTTTTGTTTTTCTTTGTGTTTTGGCTTTGTGAAGTTCAGATGCTAACAGTAAAATAAGGACAGAAAAATGACTGGATTTGTCCTATTTTAGCAGAGTGATAGGAACTAAAGTAAGTTGAGAGGTGAGGAAGTGGAGATAAAACAACGCTTTCAAGACGATTGACTGGGAGGGCTTGAGAGGTGCTGAGAAAAGGGCTGAAACTGTGGGGCCAGGGAGAGGGATGGACAGTGGTGTGGCATATTTGAAATTGAAGGAGAGTGATCTGGTAGAGATCTAGGATAGAGACGAAGTAACTGAAAGAGGAAGGTCTTTGAGAGGCTATGTCCAGAATACTTGTGGAGGAGTTGGCCTCAGATAGTAGAGGGAAAATTCCTTAGTTAAAACAGAAAGGCAGTGGATTTGGAGAGGAAATGGAGCAGATGTCCATTGATAGCATTGGGTTAGGCATCACTTCTGGTGTAATTATTCTAGTGATTACAAATCTGCCCAGTTGTCATTGTATCCAAGCCATGTTTCTACAAGACTCTCATGAAAGGTCCTGCCTGTCAGATTTCACATAGCATTCCAGATACATCCTATCAGTAGTGTTCCCCAAGTTTGGTAGTTCTATCCCACAAGAGTTTAGTGTGTCAGGATTCTCAGATTGTGGGTCTTTGCAATCACCCATCACATACAGGAGTCAACCCATCTGTCAATGTTTCTATGTCTCTCTTTCAAATTAATATACATGTCCTCAGGGGAAGATTAAAAACAATTTTCCAGTTAAAAAAAGATATTTTGGATTTATATCAGTATTAAATAGTGACTCTAAAATAAATCATGACTTTCAAGTAATATTCTGTCAGAAACAACTGTAAGAACTGTTTCTCTAGTGCCCAGAGTTAATTCCCTTTAGCAGACAAATACTGAGCCAAGTAATGTGCCTTCTCAAAGGCAGAAATGCATAAGGCACATGCCTGCCTTTGAGGAGTTAGTGGCCTAATGAGAGCAATAAACAGTTTTCCAGACAGTGTGCTTTGGACAGAATTATATGCACAGGTACTTAGAAAGCATAACTGAAGGACATGTAATGGGGATACTGTAAAGATGACTAGAGGTTGGTTTGAACAAGATGGGTAAAAATGGATACAAGTCAAATAATTAAAATAAAAACTTTTATGGAGTATTGGCGTTAGTGTAGTTATTGGAATAATAAATAAGATGATGATTTAGCTGAAATCTTAGGATAACCTTTTTAGGAATGGTGCTTTTATACTGTTAACAGTTGTTTACTAAGTGCCAAGTACTGGCAAGGCTTAGAGTTGTGTTTGGGGAAGAGACCAGAGTTGGAGTGTAGAGGGATGACAGGGTGTAAGAAGTCATTAACCGTAAGAAAGATGTGCAATTTGTGTTTGCAGATCACAGTAAAATTTATGAATAGTATTTCTTTTACTTTAAATGATTTTTTATTTTTTAATTACAGTTGGGGTGTGTGTGTGTGTGTGTGTGTACAGTTGGTATATATGTGTACAACCCATTGATTAAACATTATGTAACTTACTAAGAGATCCTGATAAGTTTTGTACCCATCTGATACCATGCATTGGTATAATATTGGAATATTATTGACTATATTTCCTATACTGTACTTTACATCCCCATGACTATTCTGTAATAACCACTTTGTGTTTCCTAATCCCTTCACCTTTTTCATCTATCCCTTCCAACACTCCTCCCATCTAGTAGCTATCAAAATATTCTCTGTATCTATGACCGTATTTCTGTTCTGCCTTGTTCATTTTGTTTCTTAGATTCATTTGTTGATAGATGTGTATTTATTGCCATTTTATTGTTCATATTTTTAATCTTTTTTTCCCTTAAAAAAGACCTTTTAACATTTCACATAATACTGGTTTGGTGATGATGAATTCCTTTAGCTTTTTCTTGTCTGGAAAGCACTTTATTAGTCCTTCAATTCTAAATGATAGCTTTGCGGGGTAGAGTAATCTTGGTTGTGGGTCCTTGGTTTTCATTACTTTGGTTCTTCTTGACAATCCTTTCTGGCCCAGAAAGTTTCTACTGAGAAATCAGCTGACAGTTTATGGGAGATCCCATGTAGGTAACTAACTGCTTTTCTCTCGCTACTTTTAAGGTTCTTTGTCTTTAAACTTTGGCATTTTAATTATGTGTCCTGGTGTGGGCCTCTTTGGGTTCATCTTGTTTGGGAATCTCTGCACTTCCTGGACTTGTATGTCTATTTCCTTCACCAGGTTAGGAAAGTTTTCTGTCATTATTTTTTCACATAGGTTTTCAATTTCTTGCGCGCTCTCTCTTCTCCTTCTGGCACCTCCGTGACGCAAATTTTGGTATGCATGATGTTGTCCCAGAGGCTCCTTATACTGTTCTCATTTTTTGGATTCTTTTTTCTTTTTGTTGTTCTAATTGGGTGTTTTCTGCTTCCTTAACTTACAGATGTCTGGTTTGATCCTCTGCTTCATCTGCTCCACTGTTGATTTCCCATGTGTGTTCTTCATTTCAGTTAATGTATTCTTCATTTCTCATTGTTTCTTTTTTATGTTTTCTAGTACTGTTATGTTTCCTATCTCTTTGTTGAAGTTCTAAGTTCATATACTCTTCCCCTAAGTTCATTTAGCATCCTTAAAACCAGTGTTTTAAACTCTGTATCTGGTAGATTGCTTGTCTCCATTTTGTTTAGTTCTTTTTCTGAATTTTTTGCTCTGTTGTTTCATTTGGGACATGTTTCTTTGTCTTTTTTTTTTTTTTTTTTTTTTGCCTTCCTGTGTTTGTTTCTGTGTTTTAGATAGAGCTGCTGTGTCTCCCAGGTGTGATAAAGTGGCCTTATGTGGTAGGTGTCCTGAAGGGTCCAGTGGCATAGCCTCCCCAATCACCCAAGCTACAAACTCCATGTGTACCACCACTCCACCCTCATGTGGGTTGTGTACACCTTCCTGGTATAGTTGAGCCTTGCTTGCTGTTGGCACATCAGTGGGGTGTATTTACCCCTAGGCTGATCAGCTGCAAGTACTGGCTACAGCTACCATGGAGAATCAGCTGTAAAGGGGCACAGTCCATGAAACAGGACTTAAGTGGGGCTCCTGTGCCTACTAAGCCCACCCGTTGAGTGTATCACTTGTGGAGGTGGTTGGGTGATGCTTTGATGTGATCTGAAGCTGTCCGCCAGTTGTGCTGGCTCTGGGGCCTTCCGGGAGGTGTAGGTAAAGGTCAGCCAGTGTCTGTGTTCTGCCTGGGGCCACCTAGCATGAGCTACAATATGATCTACAGATGGATGCTACTTGTACTGGGTTTGGAGGTGCCCAGAAGAGGCCAAGCTGTGAATCAAAGCCAGCTGCCACCAGTGCCGGGGCTGGGGCAATTTAGCAAGAGGCCAGATGCTGCTTGTTTGAGAGATTTTAGGGAAGTCTGAAGCATGAGCCAAGGCAGACTGTGTCTGTGGAAAAAGCCACTTTGGGGGCGCTGAAAGTTGAATGGGATGAGGTCTCAGGGAATCACCACAGATGGGTGAACAGTATTAGCCAGGTTGATGGAGTCTCAGATAAGGTGCCTGCCTGCTTGCTCTATGGTAGGAGGGCTTATCAAAGGAATAAAGGCCTCTGCCAGCACTTCTGTCTGGGAGAAAGGCATCCCACTAGCTTTCACCCTGAAGCCAGACAGTTCAGCTCTTCCCATGTGTCCCTGGTTTCTTTCAAGCTGCTGGCCCAGCACTGGAGCTTAGGAGGAGTAAGTCAGAGTAAGTTAGTGTGGGGTCCGTTTAAGAGGAACACCTGACTCTTCTGTCTCACTCAGCTTCAATCTCTGCTGGTTTTTACAGCCAAAAGTTATGGGACTTCTCTTCCCAGCACTGGCACTCTGTGCTGAGGGCCTGGTATGGGCCTGGTCCCCTGGCTCTTCTGGGGGACTTCCACAGCCAAGAGGTCCCTCCCAATTTTATCTGGCACACGTGGGTATACGGTACCTGCCAATTCTATTCTGTTCTGTGTCTCTGCCACTCCTATCAGTCTCATTGTAGCTTCTCCTTTATATCCTTAGTTGTAGGACTTTTGTTCAGGTGGAATTCAGGTGGTTCTGAATGATGGTTATTCTGCAGTTGAATGGTAATTTTGATGTGGTTGTGGAGGAAGGTAAG